TTTAGAGTACTCTTGAAAGGTTCAGTGGGCTGCGCATACTGTCCGCACAAAAATTACATAATATAGCAATATAAGCGTTGAAAAATAGGTAGAGTTGACCTAGCACCGATTCTTATTATGATATTCTCTTGGAGATCTCAGGACTTGCATTTTGGCCAGATCTATCCAAAACTGACTTTGAAGCTAAGTGACTGAATATGCGAATTAAAAAATGAATAGGAGAAACGTGTGTACATACATACATATATGAAGGACAAAGTTCATGAAGCTGGAGAAAGAACTTCAAGATTCAATTAAACTTTATTGAATATCTTCTTACAAGAAATAGATTGTTAGTTGAGATTTAAGTAATCGAAATAATTTGCGTGTTTTGTCGTTAGATCATTAGAATGCAGTGAGTCGATTTTAAAATTCGTCCAAAAAACCTGAATGAAACGTGCGGCAGAGAGGCTTGCTGTGTGATTTTTCATGAGAATATTCAATGATCTTGGTGACGAATTTAAGAATGCTATAAAATATGTGAAATATCACCGCTTCAAGATGATTTATTAACTGCAAAAAATATATGAATATTTTCAATTAAAATTTGAGTACAGTACTGCTTATGATAGAAATTTTTGTCCTTTTTATGCATGCATACCGATGGCTTACCCAATAATCCTAGTGATTGTGTACCACGAACGTAACTAATCGTAAATGATAATTATAATGATAGTGTACCACTAGCGATATAAATAATTTGGACCATTGTTTACAATGAACGTTCCAGATAATTAAATGATTGAAAACTAAAATCTTACCTATTAATTTCAACGGTTGTGTACCAAGCACGTAAGTAGTATAGATAGTGAGCGAATCATCACAGTTTGCAATCACAGGTTACTGATCATTTACTCACGATCTTAATTCGAATCATGACCATCAAAATTTGAGCACACTCCTCTGATCAAAAACTGATCATTTACCTCCGATTGACCTTGCACTTTTCTAACTAATGCGTCAGTAAAGTTTAGCTACTAAGAACCTGGGACTTGACTAGTGTCATTTTGGAAGATACTTCTTCGGAATACATAATTTTTTTTTTTTTTTTAAAAAGGCCTCCCACACTCACCATTCCAACAAAAAAAAAGGAATTGATTTTATTAATTAAAAACAGGGAATGGTTTCATGTCAATGATCAGGGTTGATTGATTGATTCAAATTTCGGAAATACTTTCCAGAACCCGGGTGTTCATTTTTATTAATCAACACCAAGCTATTAGATACTTTATATCGTTAGAAAGTTATTGAAACTCCGCAAAGGGCGTATCGCAAGCAATGTAATTACTGTGAATATTATTCATATCGATTAAGGGAAACTCGCCTAGAATTGAAAAATTTGAAGTCATTCTAGTGGTTTGTCTTGGTAGTATGTGATAGTTTTGGGATAAGTAAATTGAACTACAGTTATTATGTCTTCCACGGGTGTAAAAATTATCAGCAGGATTTTTATTCTTTTCCGCAGTGATATCATAAAAAAAATGTTACTCAGTATTCACTGCAGTGACAGAGAGCGCATTTTCTCGTCAACGAAAACGTGAAGTCACGGACGGACAGACCGACGGACAGACGGACATGGCGAGCACAATTGTGCATTTTTTCCATAAATGAGAAAATGCGCTAAAAATGCGCTAAGAATTTCAGTGCGTGAATTATTCATTTATCATGTCAATTATTTATGATGGCGGAGATCAAGATCTGGGTTTTCTTACATATTTCCGGAAAGGCCAATCTTCAACCAATTAAAACTTTAATATAATATAACAGACGGACATATGGCGAGGACAATAGTGCATTTTTCCATACGGACGGGAGCAGTGTTCTCAAATTATTCAATTGCGTTTTTTAGCATATTTTCTCTCTCAGAAATTACATTTGCTATCACTTTACTCCTTCAAATTATGAGGAAGGGACTTTAACATAAGAGAGCCAGCCGGGCGAGTTCTATATATTTCTGTTGAAAAGCAAAGATGAAAAAAAATAACTGAATATCATTCAGAATAATTACATGGAGACAGAGCTGGGCAGCGCTACTTCGAAATGTAGCGGCCGCTACCGCTACAGCTACATGCTCTATATGTAGCGGGCGCTACCGCTACCGCTATACCCACTAGATTGTAGCGAGCGCTACCGCTACCACTACAGTAAGATGTAGCGCCGCTACATAAGCTGCTACAATGGCCAAAATTATTGGAAATCTCTAAATATTTATTGTTCTGCTATTGGGATTTATACATAAACATTTAATGATAATAAGACATTTTCAAAACATATCAATGCAACTTTATTGCAATCAACCTAACCGAACTAGTACGGGTTAGATACAGTAAATAAAAGTTACAGTTATTTTTATGTTTTACCTTCCCTATATGGATGTCTACTTTAATCTACCAATCTCAAAAATTATCCACATATACATATAAAAATCAGTCTTTTCTTTGTACATATGTGGATTATTTTTGAGATTGGTAGATTAAAGTAGACATCCATGTAGGGAAGGTGAAACATAAAAATAACTGTAAGCAAACTTAAACATGAAAAATACCTGTAAGTGGTTACTGGTAACAACTTTACAAGTAACAACTAACTTATTGACACTAGTAACAGGCTGAGGTTGATAACATTACACCGAAATCTTTCGTACAGTTTTATTCTGTAATTTATATATGTATGTATCATGCTGGTTTTTAAATAATATTTAATATTATTAAGTAAAATCTAAAGGCTTTATCTATAGATGTAGCGGTAGCGCTGTAGCGGCAAAACCTCTTATCACTACTTAAATATGTAGCGAGCGCTACCGCTACCGCTACTGAAAATGTAGCGGCCGCTAGTAGCGGTCGCTACATGTAGTGCGCTACTGCCCACCTCTGCATGGAGATAAAATATTATTATGACTATGTATAGTAGGTCCTATGATTTTTCATCATACAAAGTGTTTGCTTTGAAATTTAACATATTATTTAGAATATGAAATTTCTCTCTAATCATGAGATTGCAGTGTTTGATAGATATTTTGATATTAATTTTTCTTATTCTTCATACGTGAGCGGTGATATAAAGATATGACTGTTAAATCCTCAATGAGCCTCGGCCATGAATACAGTACGGACCTTCAGGCCGATTGATCACCTGAACGCTCACTGAACGCTGGTGAATGAAGCTCTGATGCGGATGTTGCTTGCCTACTTGCATTTAGGATGCTTGGTCGTGCATATTACGTCGAATCTTACGTGTGATAACAGTCCATTCTCCTTTACACTCATTCAAGTGTACCATGTGACAATAGTGGCAGTTCTGTATGTATGCAATATGTGAGGGTTCTCGGTGCATGCAATATATGAAGAATAATGATATGTGTGCAAGCAATATGTGAGGGTTCTCGGTGCATGCAATATATGAAGAAGAATAATATGTGTGCATGCAATATGTGAGGGTTCTCGGTGCATGCAATATATGAAGAAGAATAATATGTGTGCATGCAATATGTGTGGGTTCTCGGTGCATGCAATATATGAAGAATAATGATATGTGTGCAAGCAATATGTGAGGGTTCTCGGTGCATGCAATATATGAAGAATAATAATATGTGTGCATGCAATATGTGAGGGTTCTCGGTGCATGCAATATATGAAGAAGAATAATATGTGTGCAAGCAATATGTGAGGGTTCTCGGTGCATGCAATATATGAAGAATAATGATATGTGTGCATGCAATATGTGAGGGTTCTCGGTGCATGCAATATATGAAGAAGAATAATATGTGTGCATGCAATATGTGTGGGTTCTCGGTGCATGCAATGTTAGAAGAACAATGATATGTGTGCGTGCAATATGTGAGGGTTCATGGCTCATGTCCTGGGTTCTCGGTTAAGAAGTGCGCAGTCAACCGTGGGTAAATGATCAGGTTTTGATCGGGGGATTGTTCTCAAATTTTGATGGTCAAGATTCGAAGTAAGATTGTGGGTAAATAGTCGGTAACCTGTGATTTAAGTCGTTTATGCAAATTGTGATGACCCGCTCACAATCTATACTACTTATGTAATTAATAATTCTGAGGATTGTGCAGCGCAAACGCAAATAAAAATTTCGACGATTGTTTGCCACAAACTTACAAGTACTTTCAATGCTTTGGCGCCAAAAATGTAATTAAAAATAATTTTGATTGTACTCAGCTAATAACTTAGAAGATTTTATACCATAAACGAACATAATAATTGTAATGATCGTGGATCATGAACGTTCCAAACAATTTCAATTATTGCTTACAAATGGCATGCTTTATCATTCTATAGATTAATACCATGAAAGTTTTCAATTATATTAACCATTATGTACGATTAACGCATCTAAACGTGTCTAACTACTTTACTGATCGTGTACCATAAACGTATAAATTCGTATCTAACACTTTTGACTATTGTTATCGTAAACGTATCACGTAACTTTAACTTGTAAAATGAAGTTATTTAACAAATTAAACGACGGCGAAACATAAATGTATCAAGACCTTTATAATACTCATATCGATTGTTACCACAAACGTCTTTAAATGTAATTAATAACTGTATTTAAATATGAAATAAGTACATGTATTTATTTATGTATTTAAATATGAAATAAGTACATGTATTTATTTATGTATTTAAATAGTTAATAACTGCAATAAACGTATATTACACTTTTTACGATAGATACCCCAAACGTATATCATATAACTTCAACGATCGTGTACCATAAAAGTATCTAATATCGTTGAAAATTGTGTAATATAAACGCATCTAAATATATCAATAATATAAACGATTGATAACGCAAAATATATCTCATAATTTTAACGATTGCCACAAACGTATTACAAACATTTCGAGTTCCGGAAAATTTTATCCTGGCCATGGAAGTTATGCGAGGGACTTTAGAGTTGTGGAGACCAAGCATCGTTGGTTACGACCGCGCTAACAGAGATTCATCTCAAGTGTCATTACGTATAACCGACTGAAGTTTTCCTAAAGTGCGCTATTCTTTTTAAAGCACATGATTAGAAATAAGAATCTAACATTTCTAACAACTTTCTAACATTTCTAGACACCTAAAGTTAAATTGACAACAAGGCGTTTCTTTTTCTAGAGGAATCTTCAAGGTCTTTTTCTTGCAACGCTTGAAAACTGAATAATAATGACCGGTTAGTGAGTTTGATATATTTATGCATCTTCCTCGAAATTGAGAGATAAACCATTAATTTTTCTCAGATAACGTAATGGTTTAATTTTTGAGAATGAAAAAAACAATTACAGGAAACAAAAAAAAATTACGCTCTCTAGGTGAAATTTTCAATTCAGCTAATTGATGTTGTTGCCACCGACACCTTTGTTTCCACCGCAGCTGTGGACGATGTGGCTGCTGCGACGTTCTCGTACGACGGCTCGGGCGACTTCACAGCCTCGGAGGAAATGGTTCGCGCTTACGCCCAACACGGATTCGTAATTATCAAGTAAGGCAATTCATTAGCCTTTTAAAACGTTGATCACTTTAAAAATGCTGGTGCGTGTGCATGCAACTTCTACTGTTTTTGTCAGCCTATTGTTCCTGTATGTTATTATTATAATATAATTTTAATTTATTATGTAATCTATTGATCGACGCCTACGAATTTTCAGATACTATTAGGAAGAACATCCATTATGTTGTTCTATAGGACAATTCATAGGCATCAAATGAGAAACTGAATATTCATCCACCCTCAATCCTAAATTATACCATACGAAAAAGAATCCATTGCACAGGAACCTGTTCAACGAGTCAGAGATGAATTTGATTCGCACTGCCATCGAGAGCCCAGACGGCGTGCAGCGACATGCGTACGGCAGGTCGGACGGTCAGAGGACCGCCAAACTCTGCGTATGGCAACATCCTGGTGATGACGTCACCGGTGTTGCTGTCAGGCTTGAAAAAGTTGCTGGGACGATGGAAAAAGTTGGTTCTAGGAAGTTATTTCTCAAAACAACTGGCAATTTTGTTAATGCAAGCTATTTTCATTGATTCAATATACTTGGAAGTTGTTGACGGCCAAGTATTCACTCATATCAGAGCTATGTATGAAGTTTCTAAAGCTAGTGAATGTCCATGAATATCAACTTACTCAAGCAACTCAATAGCAGTCTAGATATATTGAAAATTTTTTCCAGTTGATGGGTGGAGACGAAGTGTATCACTATCACAGCAAGCTTATGATGAAAGAGGCCAAGACCGGCGGTGCATTCTTGTGGCATCAAGACTACGGGTAATTAAAGTAGAATATCGACTTCATTTAATTTTTATGACTTCTTCGCATTTGATCGTGCAATTTTAGTTTATTTCTGCATATGAATCCTTTCCCCGTAACTTCCCTTGACGTAGGTACTGGTACCCGAATGGCTGTCTTCGGCCAGACATGGGGACGGTGTTCATGCCAGTGGATGCCTGCACGGAGGAGAACGGCTGTCTGCAGGTGGTGCCGGGGTCGCATCAACTCGGCAGGCAGGACCACGAGACGCTTGGAGAACAGCTTTCTGTTGAACGAAACCGACTTAAAGAGGTAATTAGATACATTGAGAACGCAACCTGGGCACAGAGTTAAATTAGAGACGATCAGAACTCAACCTGGGCAAAGAGTTAAAATAGATACGATCAGAACTCAACCTGCGTTTAGAGATAGAATTGGTATGCTCAGATCACAACCGGCGCTTAGAAGTAACCTATAGAAATGATTGAAACCCTAACTGACCACTGACTTTCATCGATCAAAGTTACTAACATCCTCAGAATCGTAATATTTAATAAGCTTGGATGGCACGAACAGGCCACGACTACCGAGGATTTTTTTTAACCTGCGTGTTGTTGAGGTATCAAATTTTCGAGTTTCTCTAAAGTCTAATGAATAAATTTTTACAAGAGGTAATGAAATGTCATGGATCGCGTCTAATGCAATAAATATTAGGTTGCTTATGATTCCTTAACAAATTATCCTTGTGGCTATTAAATTAAGTAGATACATTGAAAACTCGTTTACTGGGCAGTTCGCTCGAAACTGTCCAGTCGAGGAATACTCATCCTTTTAGATGGTTGTAAATCCAATCACTGTTTGCAAGTAAACCCCTCGCTCATTGAACCCAAAATATGTCTACAAGTTTGTAAAGAATTTCATCAACGCAATGTGTACCCCAGATCTTGGAGCGGTACCCACCGTGCCCGGTAGAGATGGCCCCAGGCGACGCCCTGTTTTTCGACTGCAACCTGCTGCACTGCTCGTCCGAGAACAACTCCGACAAGAGGCGGTATGCCCTCGTTTCTGCGTTCAACAAAAAGTTAAACAATCCATTTCTGGAGCATCATCACCCATGTTACACGTTTCTGCATAAGGTTAGTGCACCGTCAATGTATTTGCAAAAAGGCATAAATTTAGTGCAACCACACGCTAAATAGGTACGAGCTAATTGCATCGCATTGACGTTTGTTGTTTTCGATATAAATTTAATTAATGAAGGGAACGAATCGTGTAATATTTTAGTGCACTTATATAATTTCATTATTTGAATGTTTTGGAAGCTAGCCATGTTTGATTACAGAACTTTAATTTCTCCAGCTCCCCAACTCGGCTCTTCTGGAATGCAAGAATGTGACTGGGCTGGACGGCAAGGATTTTTTGGATCCCAAAAATGATACCTCATACATTTCAGGCAACAGTGGTAAAGTCCACTGATCGAAAAATTGACCCCGTTGAAGACATCAGCCAAATCAAGTGCTTTTCGTTAACGTACCGAACGAAGGACGCGTTTAGTTGCTTGATTTTGTAACAACGAACAGGTGTATTCCAAGGGACAGTTCAGTCAACCCGAATAATGATCTATAAATACAGATTTAATTACTGAAACCTTTACTTAGAAATGGTTATAAAACGTTCATTTTATAAGATCAAAACGGCTTTACAACAGATAATTAATATTTTTTATATTCCGTTTTCTGTATCCGATTCGTAATAGTTTTCGCTACAAATTGAGCTGAAAAACACAGAAAACAAAATATTTCTATTTAAGGACAGACCCTGCCCTTTAGCTAAAAAAGGTAGCTAAAGGTGCCCTTTAGCTTTAAGGGTAGACCCTGCTTTAGCTTGTACAATTGTTTGTCAAAACATATCGTTTTCATTTGCGATAAACATGTTTGAGAATTATTAGATCATTTGTTTATTCATTATTTATTTGTAAAAATTTATTCATCCTGCTTTATTATCCATGTTTTCAGTTTACGGACGCTGCATCTGGAAATAATATTGAGACCTCTGTGGATTTTTAACTTCGGAACAAATGATTCGTTGACTTGGCTAATAGTAAGAAGAGATTTACATCCGGCCGTCAAGTAACCGAGATATCTAGCTTTGACGCAGAGTGAAGTTATCGCGTGTTGATGCTTTGGTGCTTACTAAAGAGTTAAATTTGTGGTTCACCGCCAAGCCCCCAGGCGGCCCCAGCTACCGAGCACTTCAATATCCTATGACATTGTTTAAGTAGTAATATCAAAGCGAAACTGTCAAAATTTTGTGCTTATCACTGTGCTACAACTCTTATTTCAACACGTTGATTACGAAGTGGTACATATGTGAGGTACGGCAACAGGCCATGGGCCTATTTCTTCAGCGCCGACACTTCTATTCTATTCTATATGCGTACCATGGAATACACATATTTCTCCCCGACGTAGTAGTACATAATTCAGGATTGCTAGATGGCATTAAAAACGGTCAGCCGTTAATAATGGTCGAACGGCCATTCGTCGTAGAACGATAAATTTTGGAACAGAACTATGCTATGTGAAACCTAACCCTAGATGTTGTGAGCTAAAAGTGACCGTCTGGTGGTGGGGAGCGCAGCCGTGCACCACCAATTTTGTGCACCAATAACCAATAAGCCCTGAATCGAACGCCTTGGATCTCTCCGGAAATCCACCAATCAGCCTTGAACCACTCGGCTTTGTCTTCCTCCGGCCTCGCATAGAACCTGCCGTGCATCACCAGGCCGCGGATCGAATCTGACTTCCGGGCATCGTTAAATTACGTAATTATACGTTCATCGCATCTGAGGTTAGGTTTCAGATAGCATAGTTCTGTTCCAAAATTTATCGTCCATCAACAAGTGGCCGTTCGACCGAGGGCTGGTTCGACCCACGGCCAAGATACGGACGGCTTAAAGTGTTGAAGGCTACGTTCCGGAAGGCAGGAATCATGATGGTCCATTATATCCAGGGCAGTGGTGGTCTTCGGCAGGCGACCCGATACACCAGCACGGCAGGATTCACGCAGTTCCACTGGCGAGCTGGGTTGAATGGTTGATTGATCGCAGTCTGTTGTCCGCTAGTTACAGTGAAAGCTGAAGTCAGGGGGGAGCGCAGCCGTGGGTAACAAAATTGACTCGTAAACAGGCCCTGGCCCTAACGCCAACATCAGTATGCAATATCTACACATAGCCTCAGATCAGTGAGCTGTGTGTAACTCCGGCTAAGTGAGCTAACAGTAAATCCGCTTTGCACAACACAGCCACTGCTTCACAGCGCCGGAGCGCAACAGGCCTTACCGCAACAGAGGCGCAGCCTCGCAGGTTAGGTTAGGTTACCTAAGGAGGAGTCGCCTGCCGAAGATCACCACTGCCCTGGATATAATGGACCATCATGATTTCTGCCTTCCGGAACGTAGCCTTCAACACTTCAAGCCGTCCGTATCCAGGCCGTGGGTCGAACCAGCCCTCGGTCGAACGGCCACTTGTCGAAGGACGTATAATTTTGGAACAGAACTATACTATCTGAAATCTAACCTCAGATGCGATGAACGTGAAATTACGTAATTTAACGATGCCTGGAAGCCATATTCGATCCGCGGCCTGGTACGTGGTGCACGGCAGGTGGTGGTCAAGGCCGGAAGAGGACAAAGCCGAGTGGTGCACGGCTGATTGGTGTAGGTCCGGAGAGATCCAAGGCGTTCGATTCCGCTCCGGCCAGTTGTGCTCCGGCCTGTATGCGCTCCGGCCTGTGACTGAATGGCGCTGTTGTGGTGGGCGCTTTGTGTCAACTGTCAAAAGCCGTGAAGATGCCCGGCTGCGTTACGCTCGGGAAGGTATCCGAATCGCACTCTGGACTTGGTCTATGCTGGAGCCGGATTATCAAAACTTCGTAACTTTTTGTACTTACGACTAAAAGGTTACGTGTTACGTAAGTACACCCTAATTTTGGCATTATCAAAACTTTCGTACGCAAGACTTAGCAAAAAGCGTATTATCAAAACCATCTGGCTAAAGGTGCTTATACACAGGGCTATTAGTTACGTATATTGCTTGCGTCTACTACCGTTTTGCAGGTTGCGAGCCTATACACTAGTATACTGTTTTCGGTATACTGCGCCCCGCACTCCGCAGCAGCGCCCGCGTCAGTGCGACGTTGGGTGTTGTCGAGCGAAGTGTGTACTTGGTGGATTACTGGATTTCATGGAACGTAACCGTAATAACGAGTTTGAGGAGGCGTTCGAGGAAGCTGTTGGTGGCATCGTTGAGGCTCTTGCCGATGAGGTGAAAGACTTTGTAGATCGGCGGCGTAGAGTGTGAGTGAGGGACTGGATTGGTCGAAGAGATAACTTTGGAGCATCATCTTCTTTGTTTCGCGAACTTTCGGCAGAAGATCCCATGGCATATAAAAGACACTTGAGAATGAGTACCGACCAATTCAATGAGCTTCTCAGCATAATTCAGCCACAAATAACCAAGAAAGATACTGCAATGAGGAATGCTATCACTCCCAAAGAAAAACTTGAGGTTACACTGCGCTATTTAGCTACCGGTGATAGCTTCCAATCCCTAGAATTATTGTTTCGCATTTTAGCCACCACAATTTCAAGATTTATTCCCGAAGTTCTGCAATCAATCATAAGTGGATTACAGCAATACTTGCAGGTAAGTTATTAGCGCATTCCTATGCTCATATGTGGGAAATTTTAAAAGCGTGAAGCCATCTGTTATCGTTGTGTCTTTAAAATGATAATTGTGTCAAAGGCTTGCGATTAAATAAGTATATAATTATAAAGAATGAAATAATGAGCTCCATGAATGAAAATAATTGATGTGATAATTATGTTCCAATATTAAGGTTTCACCGTTACAATCTTAACTATAAGCAAATGGATTTTATAGATTTAAAATATATTCCAAATAATCACATACAAAATGTTTACATTAAGGTAAATAATTTTTGGTCTAATATTATATTTTAGACAAAATTTCATACAACCGGGACGATTCCTTTACCTAACAATCTCAATTCAATTACTAATTATTGAAAAGCTACTGAAAATCAATGATTTCATCGATTGTCAAGGCATTGGAATCCATATATGTTGTTAGGGCATTCCTCTTCACTTGACTGGTACGACGATGTACTTCCGAATGGTGATGTTGAAATAATATTGACAGGTGACTGTAACAGGTTTTTCAGCATTTCTTTGCTGATAAGGCTCCGAATCTGTTCCTGCAACATTACGAAGCTTCTGAAAGGAAGTTGCCTCAATTGAAGAGAAATATGTTGAGCAAATGCGTCGTATTGATCCAATGCTTGGTTTGAAGACGACGGTTTACTCGTCGAAACAATATTCTGTAGTTTGTTGATGGCCCTCTCAACTTTCGAAAATTTTGTAATTCTTCTCTTCTTTGCCGCTGGCGTCGCAAATTGGTGCTTTGGCACTGACGTTCCTGCTTCATTTTCTGTACTGTTGAACGGAGGGCCATCATCATGCAGACATTCGTTAACTTCGCCTTGTTGATCTGCTAGGGTATTAGCTTCTGGTTGAATTCAGTCATCAGCTTCTTCAGGGCCGCATTTCTGAAAAAAATCCAAATGTAAAATTAAACAACTCTATGCAATAATTTAAATCTCAAGTATCTGTATTAAATTTACGACATAACTAACTTTTATGTATTGCTATTGCTGCAGGTACCTCAAAATATGGCCGAATGGAAGGAATTACAGAGAAACTTTGAAATCAAATGGAATTTTCCACATTGCTGTGGTGCATTGGATGGCAAGCACGTTGCCATCAAACGACCTCCTGGAAATTGTGCAGAATTTTACAACTACAATGGAGGATACAGCATAATACTGCTGGCTATGGCGGATGCTGATTGCAAGTTCATCTATGTTGATGTGGGCACAAATAGACGCGCTAATGATGGAAGCGTGTTCACGCTGTCTACTTTGAAAAGTCCTATTGACAACAACAGCAGACAACATGTGGGGCAGGTGGTATCATGTATGGCAGGTGGTATCATGTGGTGGTATCATGTATGGCAGGTGGTATCATGTATGGCAGGTGGTATCATGTATGGCAGGTGGTATCATGTATGGCAGAAGGTGTCCCCAGTTTTCACACATTGAAGAATGTGGCAGCAGAAGTAGGCCTAGAAACTCTCAAAAGAGTAATTAAAATAAATGCATAATAAAATAAATTATGAAATAAATTCCTAATTCTGAAATTATTAATTTTAGAATTACTTCACGTATTTCAGGACTGCATGTCCACGTACCTGAATTTCATGGTTTATACCAATGGAGAAACTCCACGGGTATTGCAACCAGAATTTGATTTACCTGTACATGAATTTTAACATAGAATTTAACATATTTTGTTAGACATAATGAATATAAATATAGGCCATCGATGATTATTTGCAATCCTCACTGATTACTAGTATGACTGATAATTGATAAGTAGTATGATTATTATCATGACCTCAACTGAATTACTTAGGCGTAAGTTGAATGATTAATGAATGAGCAAATCATAATTCTATTCAAATTTTCTTATTTTAGTGAGTACAGGTTAATTTATACATTTTTTCTCAATTTTAAATTAATCAATAATTTTGGAATAACACCAAAAGTAATGTGTTTGTGCCGCTATTTGTATAATAGATAAATATTTTGATTTGCAAATTCAAATATGCAAATATAACTTTTGCATTGAAGAAAAAAAAAGAGATTTTCAAGTGAAATATTTTGGCAAAATATGTACAGAGGAATACATATTTCAATAAAGTATATATTCCATATAAATAAGTTAAATCAATTACCCTAACCTCACTTTTAGTTTTACTTTAATTTATTACATAACTGAAAACTAAATTATTTCCCAGAACCAATTTATTTCATAAAATAATGCACACAAGCAACCTCAAATTAAAAGCCCGCAGGGTTAAACAAGAAAAACTTTCCCAAAAATCAAGACATTTAAAATCATAAAAAAATTTATCAGACGTGGCAAAGTCTTTTTATTGCTGGCATAATTCGGTCAGAGGTTATCTAGGAAGACAATAACACGCGCGTGTTTAAACAAAAAGTTGTGGTTAATGAGATTCAAACTGCAAATACTTATGTTGTCTTGACACTCATTGCTCGTTTTCCACCGAATACAATAACTTTAGACCAATAAGTCTATGAAGAGTCATACCTTGAATGTAACACGCGCGTGTTTAAACAAAAAGTTGTGGCTAATGAGATTCACACTGCAAATAGTTATGTTGTCTTGACACTCATTGCTCGTTTTCCACCGAATACAATAACTTTAGACCAATAAGTCTATGAAGAGTCATACCTTGAATGAAGATATGACGCACGAGGTTTCTGCACAAAAATTATAAAGCATGCAAAAGATACTTACTTTTTACTTTCAGTATTCATATATATACTTTATTCTCTCATTTGTGTTAGTACTTTAACTTGATTCTTTATTGTTCTTATCACTTCGTGTTATACTTTACGCACGCTTCTACGATGCGAAAAATATCATTTATTGTAACCGGTACGAGTCACAGGCTTTAGCAATGTTCACTTACAATCCTTAGTTCGTCTCAATGATTGTGAGGCAATCCTTACTTCGTCTCAATTCAGAACGATTTTCGATAACATATTATGATATTAGGCACGCAACGCATCAATAAAAATATAAATGAGGCATTGGTGTTTGGTTAGCCTATGATTTTATCATCAGTGATTGTTATGCAAAAAGTCGATGAGAAATGCGTCACAAGAAACTAATACATGAAAATGTTCCTGTTCTTGCGACTAATGTGGTATCGTAAAACTTTTTCATTTATGCGTGCGTGATATACGTATAGGATGAAAATAGTTAATACTCGTAAAATAAATACATAATTTCAGCTAAACAGAGTTATTCTGAACATGGATGAACGTACTCAGCCACTCACTCTAGAGTTTAAGAATTTCATAAACTCGTGAATTTGCTAAATACTTAAAAAGGTATGAAAAACGCACGAAGTTGAAAACTATGAAAGTTAAAAACTTTTATACGAAAGTAATTAAGTATTCAATCTTCACGGGGCTTAGTAGCAGCATTCAAAATAGGAAAAGCCTTTCAATCTCGCCTTATTACAGCGTCAGGTAAGTTTTACGGACCAAGCATCATTAAAGCCGATCCATTAACAATTTAAAATGAATCCTCACCGCTTTTACTTAATATCCTTCGTACGTATTCTGTTCGAAAAGTGAAATAAATTCACCATTTCAGTTAATATACTAGATGAATCGTCTACATAGAATTTACCACTTTTTTATCAGTTTAAAACTATATTTCCGCTGATTTTCACATAAGACATTGGCCGGTTCAATGAATGGAGTGTTCTTCGTACACATTAGACGTGCTGAAGAGTTTCAACATTCAACATTATTTCAGTCAGAGTCGGCGCACTGCTCTATTTTACACCGTAATAATGACAGGCCCATTCTTCATCATAGAGAGCTATGAAATACGCTGATTTTACACAAAGCTTTGTATTCACATTATCATGAAAAAATTTTGTTCTAATAAATTGTTCGCTGAAATCTTGTTTAAGAGATTTTTGCAAGATTATCGAGAATTCGTTTAACTTTATCAATATTTTTAATCTAGATACCAAATATTTTTTATTGTTTTGAACAATCAACTTGGAACAAAAATAATCGGTTCGAACCGAACGAAGTTGATTTTTAAATATTGTCAATCTTCAATATTTGTATTTTGAATAATACTCAATCATCGATATTCAATTATGAGCTGAATTATCTTGTTGAAAGACTCCAGCTCAATAACTACTCTTCAAAACGCCGTTGCTTAAATTTTCTCAGATTGAAAATTTTTCCTTTTTATTACGTAGCTTTACACGCTAGATTGTTTACATATTTAGGATTGAAAACAAAACACTGATTCACAAAAAAATAACATCAAATTGACAAGCACGGTACAACAATTCAGTTGCTATCCATCAAAGAAAATCAATCCTCATCATCGGTACTATCGCCGATGCGGTACTTTCCTCGTCGATCAGTATCCTATTTCTCTTCGTCGCAATTATCTTCCATTTCGTCTTTGCCTACATCAGCAATTTTGTTTCCACCTTCATCATCAATTTCGTCTCTGCCCATCATCAACTTCGTCTCTGCCTGCATCATCAATTTCGTTTCCGCCTTCATCATCAACTTTGTCTCTGTCTTCATCATCAACTTCGTCTCTGCCTTCATCATTAATTTCGTCTCTGCCTGTATCAGCAACTCCGTTTCCGCTTTTATCAGCAACTTTGTCTCTGCCTTCATCATCAACTTCGTTTCCACCTTCATCATCAACGCCGTCTTTGCCTTCATCATGAACTTCGTCTGGGCTTTAATCATCATCATCTTTATCAAGATCCTATTGATTAGTTGGCACATGATTTAGATTAGCTTCCTTGCCCCTTAACCAAACGGCCGCTCTTCTGCTCATCCGACCCAACAGGAAGCCAGAGTGCTGCTCACTTTTGACACTGTCATCAGAAACTTCCAAATATGCACCCGGTCCATAACCCGGTATGTAGTAGACATCTTGATACTCATCGCACGACTCCTCACTCTGAAATTCCTTTGATTGATCTTCCGTTGATTGCAGCTCTGAAATTGAGTCCGAATTCCGTGAGACGACCAGACCGTTTTGTGAAGAGCTGTCAGGTTCAGCATCAGGTTTTGTATGCAGCACAAGGGCGGTCGGCTATTTACATTCAAAGTCGTTGTCCCTAATTTGACAGAGCATATTACTGATCTTAAGTCGCTCATTGAGCAGCCCTACGTCGACCTCAAGTTGACCCAGCCTCCGTCTCATTCCGAAAATCTGCTCGTCGTAAAGTTGGTACAAATCAGAAATAGCCTGCTCGATGACATCGATTTAGCTTAATTTTCCATCCATGAGTTTCTCGGACTCGTTCTGCAAGAACCGAAAATATTTTTATGATTTTCTCGTATTTTCTCGCTGACTATCTTCTATGGCTTAGTAATGCTTTTCAATTTCAGACGATCGCACTGGACACTGACACCGGCAAATTTTTCGGCCACTTTAATGTTCATTCCTTTCGCTGTTCTACTCACCAAAATTATCGAAGGACTCGTCGAAATTTACTAAGGCGAACTCGTCCTCGGATACGCCTTCGCATTGATGCTGAATTTCTGATGCGTTGACTTCTGAATCAAGATCCATACGCACAGGGGTGGCACTTATCTCATAAATTATTTAGACTTCATCGCCCACATCCAAATGATCCTGTACTGCCTCAGCAGCGCCGGAACTCTCTATCTTCATCTTGTCGTTTACTCCGATATCAGAACTGCACGCGTTGATGTTTTTCGCTGGGCTTTCTTCTATGCTTTCTTAAGTCGACATTATTGACGTGGCGAAAATCAACTTATGTTCTTGCCGAGGTGCGAGACACTTCAGGTGTTTCGTCGTATTCTTGATACTCATTGAGATATCAAAATATTTTTCCGATTATTTTTGCCCGTATCAAGCGTTGAGATTACATATAATTTTAAAATTGCTGAGAAAAATGAGATGATAATACAACCATATTAAGCTCTTACTTGTCGCAGGCCTCAGTATTGACAGTCCCACATCCCAACACGAAAAATCGCGAAGAAAGTTTCCATGAAGTTTCAATTGTATGCACTTGAATTAGCAGCGCTATCATATTGCCAGTAATACAAACATCATTACAGTCGGCAATGCTCTATGTGGGTCTCAGTCGACAGTAGCAATGCTACAAAATTCATAGATTAAAAAGTTCGAGCAGTCGTAAAAGGGCAGCCCAGTTGTTACAGTTCAGAGTACCAAGATTGGCGCAGAGAGGCGCGGGTTCGATCCCAGCTCTGTGCGCCAGTTTCTGGTCAGAATCGGCGAGGATGCCGGGCGGTTAAGCACAGCAGAATTGTAGCAGTGAGTTACGAGTTCGAGACCGCAACATGCTGTGAATATTCCGTCACGTTAAGAATCGGCGACAGGCCTACGGCAACATAAACGCTGACGCTATTATTTATTTTATTATAATATGATCGCGAATATAGTGCTGAAAATATATCAACATTCAAATTATCACTAAACTCTGCCTGAAACGAACTCATCTAACAATTTAATATTTTAATTCAAGCCTCTTACATTGGTAATGAACTGTAAAATAAGGAAATTTGGCATCCACAACCTCTCATGAGTGGAGCGAGCTTCATGTGCACAAAAATGTGATAAATCTCGTTGGTTATAAGCAATTCGGAGTTTGCAAGATTTTCAATTTTGAATACCAAGAAATAGTAATAAATTCACTGTATTATCCTCAGTAGCTGGTGCAGTTACCAATACATTATAGATAACCATTCACCATTCAAAGTTGGACGCTCCTTGTGGTACCTGAGAGCACATGTATTAAGTATCGGACGCATGCAAGAGCTGTTTGCTGTTTAACTAATCTCTTTAGGTAGTACGCTTTTACTTTATTCGTACCTGCTGCGATTATCATCTTGTTGTAGCTAGTATTTTCCTCTCATTGTTGCTGTACTCGTTTATTCTTGCTTGTATTGGATAACTATATTCCATCATTTATGTTGATCGATGCAAGCAAGTATAACAAATGTTACGCGTGACTCAACCCAAGCTCACTCATATGGAAATAAAGAGTTTCTTTCGTCATCCATTGCTACCTAATTCTTTTCATTGCTTTCCCTGTTCATCAAACACAACATGCAATGTTTGTCTTATTGTTTGCCTCTGAAAAGACCAGCGATACCAAGCAATGATTCGTGTCGGTGGTCTTGCAATGGTTGGTACGTGCATGTGCATGGGTGCGGCACAAAAGGTTTGTTTGCGTCTTTAATTGTAGTTTAAAAGTGTTCAAAAGTCGAAAAAACACTTTAAAGTATATAAACTACAAAAGAAGGTGATTAAGATTAAATAAATGGTATTTTTCATGCTCGCATCATATCATACGACTCGAAATACATTTTTAACTCCAGATAAGTCATGCTCCAGCTTCTACATCTACGCGCTAATTACTGATTTCCGCGCAAGTTACACATAATTCGTTCTTTATAACATCTAACTAATATTCTGTTGCTTATCCTATAAACATTTATGTAGGTTATATATATATATATATATATATATCATGGAGTGGCATATATTTTTAAGTTTGTATTCACTTGCTTTTTTACTTATAAGCTCAATGTTCGGGCAGCTAACCTTGAACCTGATAAAATAACGTCCAACTCTTTTTTATCGCGTGGCACACTGCAGTGCACTTCTCCGCACAGTGCAGGTGTGATGTCAACAGTCTGTGTCAACCTAGCGAGTGAGTGGGAGGAACGTAGAATCTTTATGGGGATTAAAAATGAAAATGGCTTAAATTTTCTTATTGTTCTCAACAGCAATATTTTACCTTAAAATTTTGACTGTGACAACTCCAGGTTTGGAAGCTCTGTCCTTAATTGCGTTCTTTGATGTACGGGTTGCCATAGTACTCAAGTCGTACATAGCCAAGTACATAGTCGAGTGTGAACTACACTCACGTTAAATAGAAGTAGATGAAAAGATTCTGGTAATATTTTATATAGCTGTGCCAATTTTTACTGTGACTCAAAGTCAATAAAATGCCTGCCTGACCATAATTCCGTAGTTTTTATTGAGTGGCAGCGAGTTATGTCCAAAACCAAGTTCCTTAATTAATATTATTGTTTGTCAGACTTTTGTCATGTAATTACATTAAATCTATTTCATATGTAAAAATCGGGGTAACTGAAGATTCTTTGTTTTTATTAGTCGACTTGGCTAGGTGGGTATATAGTGTTAATAAAAATTTAGAATACAAATTCCACAATATGATCTTTGTGGACGGTCGTGATTATTATGTGAATTTGCTAACATAAAAATTTATTTATTTGCTCACATAATTGCATTTATGTGACCCAACAATGAAAAATGAAACATGCGAATCCAAACATCAAGTGGTAGACTTGATGATAAGTCGACTTCATCCGTCAGTTGATTGAAAGATGATATGACCGTGTTGTTTTTTGAAGAGGATTGACTAGAAAGCATTCACGAGTAAAAAGTAATGCTTGCTTCTATATCAATTTCAGTTATTTCACCTAAAATGAATTATCCTTTTATTCGATATCCATTTAAAAACATTGGCAGAGAAAACTTTCACTTTTCAGCGCCAAACAAACATGCAAATAATCATTCAAAAATTTCTGCCAACGCAATAATTGATCAATCATCACGTATCAAATTCCAGTTGTTTTGATATCCATTGGCATGACAATACTCCCAATTATAGATAAAGGACCGAAGTATCTAGGAAGAAATAAATAATGCATATGTTACCTTAACTCTCACACATACAAAGTATGTTTTCTACGATTAAGAACTTCTAAGTCCACGGATACCAAGATTTAAATGCCAATTTGCTAATTTATGGTTTCTAACATTGCCAAGAACATTCATATTTTTGAGACTACAATTTGCATGATAGTTTTGCAGTTGATGAAAAGGCGGATATTGCGATATGGCTGAATCGTTCGTGATTATTTGGACAGACTTTAATGGAAGATACTTGGTCTAACTTGTTCACGTGTCACAACACTATTCCTACCGGGCTTTTCGAGTAATTTGCCACAGGTGCTTAACACTCACATCCGTGGGCACAGAAACCAGCAATCACCGTCAACGGCCGTAAAACATTCTTAATATTCTATTCTGCACTCCTAACTTCAATTCTGTCTGTAAATTTGATCTGTCTGTTCTCTTAACTTGATTAATTCTGTTCTATTAACTTAATTAATTAAAAAATTCACACTCGTAACTTCGATTCTGTTTAAAATCAGGAGAATGATCAAGAAATTTATTCTTCATTGCCACACATCCCTGAATATGTTTTAAATTTTCGCTCTCTATGCAGGCGACAGCCCGGCCCCCATGCCCCCCGTGGACCCCGCGCCACCGCCGGAGGGGGGCGGCCGGCCGAGATCTGCGGCGATCGGCATCGACTTCGGGACGAGCAAATGCTGCGTGGCTGCGGTGCGCGACGGTCGGGTGGACGTCCTGGAGAACGAGTTGGGGCAAAGGACGACGCCTTCCTGTGTTGCCTTTAACTCCCAGCAGCGACTAGTGGGCAGCGATGCCCTGGACCAGGCCGTTGTGAACTGCGCCAACACCGTGCACGCCGTCAAGAGCTTCCTGGGGAGGACCTACGAAGAAGTGAAGGATATGTCTTCTCTCTGCAGAATTCAACCAACTTCCTACGATGGGAGATTTGAGAACGCCGTTCAGTAGAAAAATTACGATCAGAGGCTGAGACACGAGCAGGTTGCCGCCATGCTGCTCGGGCAGATGAAGGACATCGCGGAATCCTCTCTGGGTTGCCCCGTGGACCGCGCGGTCATCTCGGTACCGGCTTCGTTCGGCAACGCGCAGCGACTCGCGGTAAAATGCGCCGCGCAAGTCGCAGGACTTGAAATACAGGTGGAGGAAATATGTATAATGTTGTGTTGTCGCCGTCCCTCACCTCCCCTACCTTGATGCCTCCCAACATTTCCTGAACAATTAATATATTAGTGCATATAATGTCAATAATAATGTATAATGTTGTGTAATAAACTAACTAAGATTGTAATTAATTAACTAACTTATACTCACGCAATCAGACAACTGAAGCAAGCAATGAATCCAGTGGATGAATCTGGTGCCAAAAATAATGTTGTGTAATTAACTATGAATGCCTCACGCAATCGGACAAATGAAGCAAGTAGTGAGTCCAACGATATTTATTCAAATTGTTGAATCTCGTCAATTCTTGTAGGGATGGTTGCTCAAGTTCAATATGTGGCCATTATCTATCAATCTCAATAAATTTACGTACCCTTGGCATTCCTAGAAGAAAACAAGGATAAAATTTAAACTCTACTTTTTGTGTACTTGTGTACTTGAATTGGGTTTCGAACTTCAGAGGCGATGCAAGAACTGTCGCTGATAGAGACCCGTTTTAATTCATGAAATAATTTGAGCATCGAAATATTTCTTTCATTCACATAATTGCTGCAGCCAGCTGCCTCTACTCACAAGATTGCTGCAGTCAGCTGCCTCTACTCACAAGATTGCTGCAGCCAGCTGAGATTTGTGCAGCCAGCTGCCTCTACTCACAAGATTTGTGCAGCCAG